GAATACCCAGCAGCAATATAAATATTAGGCATATTGTGCTAAGGAAGGTGGCAGTGGCCATTTTAGGACATTGTGAACAGGTGAAGCAACAAGCCATGTCAACCATGTCAGGGAACTGTAAGAAGTGCAGAAGGCACAATCTTTTCCTGCACCAAGCTCCTTATTGCACATTGGGTCCTGAGTAAGTAGGTCTCCTGCATTTGTACATTTGTAGGGCATATGCTCTTCTGTTTAGTGCCAGACAGACTATTGCCCCTTTAAGGAAAAGGTGCTACCCAATCATCCAGAAATACTCACAACAGCCAAGCAGAAGCATACCAAAGGCTATATGCAGGTTGGCTGTGTGACCACAAAACTGGGTCTGCTGCTATCCGAATTCAAGCTTCTAGAAGAACAAATAGCTGTGATGACAGTGGTAGGGCCCGGACTGAAGCTGCTGTAGAGCGGAGAGAGCCGAGTTGCAACTATCCTGTGCGAGAAAGGAGCATAGTGCTGCATGAAAGTCCCGGCATGAGGAGATGGTGGCGGGAAATTCAAATAGTGGTTCAGCCATAACCATGTCTGGCTGCCAGAAAACCACACACATATTGCCCCACAATAAATAAAAAGAGGAGGCTAGCCCCAGGTAGGTAAAAAAAAATGATGTTCTGTTATTTAAACTCGAGTGAAAGAGTAAAAGACAAGCTTGTAATTTTCCACAGTCTCCAGCCGTGTATCCTGCTGCTGTAAACACTGTAAAAAAAAATCTCAGTTACATAAAAAGGAGAAATAAAGCCCAACACAGCACAGACCTCCATTATTCATTAAAATAAGTTAGTCTTCAGAGAATGGGATAGGCGAAACTGCCACAGCTCTGGTCCCGAAACTCGGCAAGGAATCCCCAAATATACTCGCCTGACCTGAAAAGCAGAATCCTGTATTGTAATGAACTGGAAAAACCTGCACTCTTCAGCTAACTAGAGAGACTTCCAAGATTTCCAATATCGAGCTCGAATCCACCAGTAGCTGTTGATACTGGTAGAAAAAAAAAAAATCTTTCACTTCAAATCAAAAAATATACTAGAAGGGATAAAACATCAATTCTCCAAAGGACAGTAACCAAAAACAGAGTAAGTGTAAAGTGTGAGGGGTTATACCCCCTAGGGGGCTGGCTTTTAGTTTATGTGCCTACTGTCAATTTCTCCTGTAAGCTCTGTCCCTCAATGGACAAGGAAAATATATTTAAACTAACACTAAACTCAGGAGTTAAATCTTAAAAATGTACTCACGTACACCAACTAATAACAATAATGTACCTTACTTATGTATAACTCTGCTATAGATCCTCAAATCATCTCTGAATTTGTGCCGACACCGTCCCCTTCTGGAGGGGGGGCTACTTTTGTTCCCCATGGTCGCCGTGTGTGTTGTAAAGTAGTCACCACTCCAAGCTCGATTCCATGATGGACTACAATCTTTATACAAACTAGTAAACTAAATGGGAGATTGTAGTTCAACGCAGGAGCGAGCTTCGAGTGGTGACTACTTTACAACACACAGGGACTATGGGGAACAAAAGTAACCACCCTTCAGAAGGAAGGACAGTGTCAGAACCAATTCAGAGATGATTTGAGGATCTGCAGCAGAGTGATACACAAATAAGCTACATTTATGTTAATAGTTAAGGTACTTGAATGCATTTGAAAGATTTAACGCCTGAGTTTAGTGTCACTTTAATGACAGAGCTGAATTCATTTATGTATTTTATATCTGCCTGGGCTTTAGCTTTAAAAGTGAGCTCCAGGCACATTAAATTAATTAAAGCTGCTTTGTGGGGCAGGAAAGTCTCATTGCAAGTAACGCTGCCTTTTCCCTGTACAGAGGACTGGTTAGTGCTGTAGCTTGCAAATGCGATAGGTGACCAATCGCAATAACGCCCCTTTTAGTTTCCATGTAGGCAGCAAGAAACTCCCTATTGTGGTCGTTTTTGCTTTAAATTAGGAGCCACCATCAGGTCTTTCCCTGCCTATTCTCGGTCTCTGGAGCCTTCCTCTTATATGAGAGCTCTCCATATACAGAATGCTGGAGAAGGCTGTTTAACTCTGTGGTTATGTCAGATAAAAAAAAAAAAACAGCCATTATGCTGTGCACATTATAACAAAATCTTGCAAATCTATGCCAGCTGCATTGTGAGGGATTGTAATACTTCATAGCATGGAATTTATCTGGGCAAATCATTGTCCAACTGCTTCTAAACCCTTAGCAGATACTGCATGTCAATAGGGCTGCAACAACTAATCGACATAATCGATTATAATCGATTGAAAAAGTTGTCAACTTTTTCAATCATCGATTAATCGGCTTCTGGTTAGTTGGCCCTGTTCACTGCCCCACACAAGCTGCGCGCCGCACCTCCTCACCACCTCACGCTCGCCGCTGCCAGACCCGCCCGCACCCACGCTCCACACGCCGCACCTCCTCCCACATCCACGATCGTCACAGGGACGCGGGGAGAAGAAGTGAGGAGCAGGTGTGGGGGGATGACAGCCGCAGATACAGGCCCTATCTCAGAAGCAAGTTGCTGGAAGACTGCTCAGGTAAGCCTGTACTTTCCCACACATGGTACTCTATAATGTATTGCTGGTATTTGTATTCCCCTATAGGTGATGGTACATTGTGCTATATGTTATACAGAGGACTACAAATCGCAGCAATAGTACATTATATAATGTACTATTGCTGGGATTTGTAGTCCTCTATACAGCGCAATGCAGAATACCACCAGCTATAGAGGGATACAACAAATCTCAGCAATAGTACATTATATAATGTACTATTGCTGAGATTTGTTGTATCCCTCTATAGCTGGTGGTATTCTGCATTGCGCTGTATAGAGGACTACAAATCCCAGCAATAGTACATTATACAGCACAATACAGAATACCAGCAGCTATAGAGGACTACAAAACCCAGCAATAATAATTATACAGCGCAATGCATAATACCGCCAGCTATAATGTATTGCTGGCATTTGTTGTATGCCTCTATAGCTGGTGGTATTCTGTATTGTGCTGTATAATGTACTATTGCTGGGATTTGTAGTCCTCTATAGCCGTTGCCATTCTGCATTCATTGCTATATAGTTTTACACTTTTCATTTCACTATATTGCACACCACTCTTTTTTTTTCTTTTCTTATTTACTATCACCACTCCAAGTTTGCTCCCGTGGTGGACTACAATCTCAATACAAACTAGTAGCTCATCACTGGAGCCATTTTTTAAAATGTATTTTATTTTTTATCCGATTAACCGATTAATCGAATTCAATAATCGGCTAACTAATCAATTTTGAAAATAATCATTAGCTGCAGCTCTACATGTCAACATAAGATGTTAATGAGGATCTCTATTACTTTTGAGTTCTATACTGCAGCACATCTAAAGTGACGCAGTCACTTTATATATTTCCTCGGGTGATCAGCTTCCCTTCCTGCTGTTGTCTGGTATCAAAGACTCCTTGGAGAAATATCATTGGGGCCAATACAAAGTTCTAGCAAGCAATAGCAGTGTAAAGAGGAGATTATTCAAGGGATAGATTGATATTCTCGCTCTCTCTCCCCCTCATTCAATCCCTCTCCCTCCCTCATTCAATCCCTCTCCCTCCCTCATTCAATCCCTCTCCCTCCCTCATTCAATCCCTCTCCCTCCCTCATTCAATCCCTCCCTCTCTCATTGCCTCCCTCACTAATTTTCTACCCCCTTAAGTACCTAAATCTGTCAACATATAATTTTACTATAATCCTGCACATAGCAGCGTTCAAACTGAAGGGAAAAAAAAAAGACCAGGGCTCGGTTGGTTTGCACAGGTTTACATAAGGAACGGGGGGACCTCATCAATGTACTTCTGCTCCTTCACTGTACAATTACAGGCTGGGGTGGTCCTAGACCAGAAGATTAATTATTGCTTAGTTGCAGTATAGTATGCAGAGAAGTGCAGGACATGGCTATGCTGTCTGGAAGGTGTGCCTGTGTCACAAGACAGATTTACAAATCCTTTGTCAATCAAAACAGTTCACAAAAATTTATTTGAACTACGATTTTTGCCAGGAGCTCAGATTTAAAGAGAAGTATATAATACAGTATGTATTCTATAGTATCTAGGCAAAAATTGGAACCAGCTTTAACTTTTTACATAAGGCGGCCATTGGGCACCAGGGATTTGTTCAGCACTGGCACTCATTTATAAAAATACGTATAGCAATAGTGGTATATGTCCTATCATCGTGCATTTGAAAAGAAATATTACTTCAGTATTTGCTTATCTTTAAAGTGCCATCTCAAGCAAACCCAGTAATCCTCACCGCTGAAGCAAAGTAGTAGATTCAGGCAGCCGCGACACATAAGGGAATAAGTAGATTAAAAAAAAATATTTCTGTGAGTTCACACACAGTTTCTGCTTCTCTCTAGTCAGCTATTTATCACTTTCCTCCAAGAAAAAAAATGAAAAAAAAGGACAAAAAAAAAAAGAGACCTGGCAGATATCCTGGATGAGAGTTCTGTGGTGGATGAAGAGGGCGAGCAGAGGGGAGGGGGTACGCATGATGCAAACCATTTGGAGCTAAGTGAGAACGCTGCCAATACAAGCTGCTTTATTCAAACAAGTAAGGAAGTGATGGGACATTCTGCATGCCAGAGTGTGTACAGCTTCTTCCACACTACAGACATATTTAAGTCACAAACACATACAATGCAGCAGGCAAATAAGCACTACAGCCATCACACATGTATATCTAACCTCATATATAGGAGCCCAAAGGAAAATACTGATTCTTTTTAATCTTCATTACATAGAATTGAATGTCAGCGGTGAAGAGGTCAACATTTTCCCTCAACACACTCAAACTCTTAGCAAGAATTAGTGTTCAGAACAAACTTCCCAAGATATTTGGAGAGAAGGCAAAAAGTAAGACGAGTAGAGGAGCTAAGAGGGCAATGCGAGACTGAGTTCCATGCACTGACCTTGTCGGAGGTTTTCTCCACATAGCACGGTTCTTGAGGGGTAACAAGGAGGGGGACAAATCCAGAGAGCAGTCTGTCTTCTTCAAGTATCAGTAGTGAAAGGTCGTCATCAGGGTCTTTATAAAGAGGCACCTTGGACTGGTTGACCCAGGTCAATGTGTTGCAGAACTCTGCCAAAACACTCCAGACATCTAGTGTAGGCCTGTGGAATAAAAGCACAAAAAATGTCACTTGGTTATTGGAAGAGGTTCTAAAAAGTCAAGCCGCCGAGAATTTAAGACCATTACCAGATTCCATCGAAGAATTTTGCCTAGATATAGGAGGATTAGTGGAAGTTTCAGTTGCTAAATAAATACTTTTGTCTAAGACAGACAGAGATTTGCTTACATGTAACCAACCCTCTGTGGTCTATCAAGTAGAAAATCTGGGGAATGCACTCTTGAAAAGGGTACTAGGTAATTCTTGTCATAGCCAACACCTAGCAATCAGACAAGCAGTGAAAGGAGATGTTTTCTTTAGAATATTTTAAAAAAAAAGACTCGCTAAATGATCAAGCCCCTTTCTACTCCACAAAGCAAATTATTTTATGTAAAGTTCCTCTTTAAAGCAGAACTTTACTCATATCTTCAAAATGACAACAAAAGCACCTTTAGAAATGTTTAGTAATGATAAATCTACAAACCGATACTTCTTGATAACTGCCACATTTTAATTATTTTTGCATACCTTAATTTTCTTTTCTTCCCCAGTCTCCGGTTCTGACAGCAGTCGTTTTAACAAAGGGTAGGTTACTAGATCTCTCTCTACATCCTGGAACTCTGGCATACGTGACTAGGGCATGTGCCCATGCACATCATCTCAGGGGAGGAAAATGCCTTTCCCTGAGATCTCACAGGATTAGAGGAGATTTGCCAGCAAAGCTCTACTGATATAACCTTCCCAGGAAGCAATTCTTGGCCACAGGATACATCATTTGTTCCAAAGTGGACCAGGAAGTGGGAAAAAAGAAAATTGTAAGTAAAATAAAAATATGTTTAGATTGTAAGAGTATTTCATATCAGCATGCAGATCTGTGTTTTAGTGAAAGGGGGTAAAGGTCTGCTTTAAGGCAGAACACAAAGCACAAGATAACCCAGTGTGAGCAGTCGTTATCTACTAGTATGATATTGGTTATTGTACACTACTGTCGCTTAACATACATGTTGCTCAGCAGATTTTATGTCCTGTTGTACATTGGTATTAGGATTTTTTTTTTTTGCTGAGACGCGAGACAGCTATATCTGACAGCAGAGGGTATCATCTGGTGCAAGAGGTTGCCAGTGCCAACCTCCTATGCCAGTGGTGGCGAACCTGTGGCACGCTCTCTGCTGGTACACGAGCCCAGGTTCGGGGCACCTCTGAAAATAGATCCGACCGCCCCGGATCGCCTCGGTATGCGATCCGGGCAATCACAATCAGGCAGCGGCCTCTAAACAGGCATATCAGACTGCCACTTCCTCCTCGCTAGGACCCAGAGAGGTCCCGCTGAGCTGCAGTCTAATATGCCTGTTTAGAGGCCGCCGCTGCCTGATTGTGACCGGCCTGGATCGCCTACCGAGGTACAGAGTGCAGCTGCCCTCCCCTGGGTGCTGCACGGGCCGCCCTGAGAGCCGCACAGAACCCCTAAAAGCCGCACACACCCCTGAGAGCCGCACAGGCCCCCCGTGATCCTCACAGCCCACCCCCGCCGGGAGTCACACAGTCATATCCCCCCCGAGAGCCGCACAGCCCTTCCTAACAGCGGTACAGCCCTTGGAGAGCAAAACAAATGACACACTCAACAATTTGTCACCAGTTATACAGTAAGGTGCATGTGCTCCAAGATGGAGACACTCATAGTTTAGAGTTAGGACCGCACTATAAGAGGTGCCTTGGCGCGGCTGTACGGCTTTCACATTTTCTGCAGAAGACGTGTATCCAAACCTGTTATTAACCTTAGTGGTGAGACAAGTTGTTTTACATGCTGGTTTGTGAGTGTGCCATGATACCTTTCTACTGTTTTACAGCCCTCGGAGAGGCGCACAGCCCCCCCCGAAAGCCCACACAGCGCCCCTGAAAGCCTGCACCGCTCACCAGAGAGCCCACACAGCCCTCCAGAGACCCTGGAGACATCAGGCTGCCACCCCAGAGCAACACAGTATGTAGCTTATATTATTCTGCATTGCTGTATAAAAGGTATTTTCAGTCCCCTGTAGCTGATGGTATTTTCAGTCCCCTGTAGCTGATGGTATTATTCTGCATTGCTGTAAAACATATTGCTGGGATATGTCGTTCTCTATAGTTGGCGGTATTCTGCATTGCTGTATAAAGTATTGCTGGGATATGTAGTCTTCTATAGCTGGTGGTATTCTGCATTGTTATATAATGTATTGTAAGGATTTGAAGTCCTCGATAGCTGGCAGTATTATGCATTGCTGTATAATGTATTGTTGGAATATGTAGTCCTCTATAGTTGGAGATATTCTGCATTGTTATATAATGTATTGCTGAGATTAGTTTCTTTACATGTTGGAGTCAGTGGAGGAACTACCAGGGTCACAGCTGCAATTGGGCCCTGGTGCTCCACCACTGACTCCAAGCTGTAGAGAGACTGTTCCCTTGCAGTGTGCTGCATGACATGTACCTTAGTAGCACACTGCAATGGAACACTTCACTCATAGTAAAAAGATACATGTCCCTCTGTAGTTAAAACCTCTTGTATTGTACTTTTCTTCTAAGATTTAAGCACATAATTAGTTCAGACTGTAAAGAAATGATCAGTATTTAGGTCTAAGTACAGGGTTGGCACTTTGATACACACAAGTTGGTTAAGTGATCCAGTTTGGGCACTCAGGCTCAGCAAGGCTTGCCATCACTGTCCTAAGCAGTGCCAAGTCCAAGGCAGCACACACTCAGGCATGACATACGACAATGTGTCTGTGCCAGAACTAGCACAGCTTTGAGTGCAGAAATTGCATTAGAAATCACTATTCACGTGAACTGGGAACTCATCTGGAACCCTTTTACAGCTGTGGAATGGAGCTAAGCATTACTTCCACAGTGCCTTTCTTACCGTCATCTAATCATAACTGCTCCAACGAGCTGCATTTTAAGGTCAGAGCAAAGTTTTCAGGTCAAGACTGTAAAGGAATAACAAAAAAAATGCATATAAACATGTGGTGTTCCATTCAGGCAGTACTTAAGGAGGTAAAATGAAGCTGGAAATGCAGGCAGAATGAGGGTTAGTGGATACAGGAGACAGGTTTATGCTCATAGATGGAGAGCCATGAAAAAAATAAAAAAAAGATGAACTTTCAGGTGCCAAATTTCTAAGTTGTCTCATTTGGCAGAGGTTCTGCACCAGAAAACGCCCGCTGACACAAAACATCTTGCCACTGAGCGTGTGATGGCAGTCAGAGAGAACACTCTGTACCACTGACATGTAATTCCTCCCCCCATCAGTAGAAGAACGTCTCCCCCCCTTCCCATCCTTTTCTGTCAGAGGGGTTCATCATCTTCAAGCCCTCTAAAATCTGTCAAAAACGTGCGGAAGAAAAAAAAAAAAGTATGAAATAAACAGTGGGAAGGCTGGCCAGTGAGGTAATGGGAACAGTGTGGACTCTGGAAAGCCAAATAGTGTTTTAATAGTTAAAAGGAGTGAACTTGACATAACCCCAGGAAAGATCCTGTTCTGCCCCTCAGGTCTGACAGATATCAGAAGGGAGCAGGCACCGGATACATGCGGAGTGGGGGGCACAGGGCCTCCTGGGAGATAAAGCTGCACGTCCGTGCCTTTAACCCCCGGGATGCCCCTGCTGCCCGCTTTGGGCTGAACACTTCCGGTCACACACATCCTGTGCCAGAAAACTACGCCAAGTCACACAGAAAAGGCTTGCAAAGTAAACAAACTGAAAACAACAACTGTGACAAGAAAAGAGACAGAAACAGACAATCAAGAAGCAGGAGAGTGGAAGAGGCCAACAGAGAGGGAAAGAATGAGAAGAGGGAAGGCAATAATGAGGAGAGACACATTGAATAGAAGCAGAAGAGAACACGGTCCAGCAATGATCAGGTTTCATTCAGCTCACATGTAACAGCTGAGAGCACCTCTCCGCAACAATTGTATTTTCACCTAGGTAACACAACTGCGCTCTCCCTGAAAAAGAACAAAATTGCCAGGTGACAAGATGACCTCTTAAGATTTAAAGTGACACTAAATTCAGGAGTGAAATCTTAAAAAAAAATGTATTCAAGTACCTTAACTATGAACAAAAATGTATCTTATTTGTGTATCACTCAGCTGTAGATCCTCAAATCATTTCTGAATTCATGCCGACACTGTCCGTCCTGGAGGGTGGCAACTTTTGTTCCCCATGGTCCCTGTGCATGTTTTAAAGTAGCTTAGTTTACTTATTTACATTGACATTGTAGTCCATCATGGGAGTGAGCATGGAGCAGTGGCTACTTTACAACACATACAAGGATCATGGGGAACAAAAGTAGCCACCCTCCAAAATGAAGGACAGTGTCAGAACCAAATCAAGGATGATTTGGAGATCTACAGCCGAGTGATATACAAATAAGATGTTTTGTTAATAATTAAAAGGTACTTCAATGCATTATCAAGATTTAGCTCCTGAGGTTAGTGTCACTTTAAAGTTTACGCGAGACTTTAGTGCTAAGACTCAGCGAGGGAGGTTTTAAAAAGTGGGTTCTGCAATTGTCTTATACAGAGAAAAAGAAACAATAGATTAGGGGCTATCTGCAGGAAGCCTCAGTGTTGACACTTACAGTGTAAACCCAAATAATGAACTTCTGTTTCTTCCCTTTTTGGTCTCTTAAATATACAGTTAAAAGGATTTTTATATATTTGTTCGATAAATAAAAAAAATTAAAAAACCTGTTGATCATGCCAAAAATCTTGGGATCCTGTGCTCGCAAAAATTCAGGTCCTATAATGACAACGCTGCTCTACTTTAGCTACAGTATGGCGAGTGAATCAATCTCCGACATGAAATGTATTTTTGGCAGGATCACCAGGTAAAAATTAGGATAAAATAAAGCAAAACAAATACAGACTCCCCATCGAAGGACTGATAGCATTGCAATAAATGACATCTTTGCTCTTGGGTTTAACTATGCTTAGGGGCTGATTTATAAAAACCTCAGCCAAAAAAATAAAAA